TTATACTTTTCACTCAATGCTAATAATAGTTATTCATTCACAATCAAAGATTTAATAATAAATTTAATAATATCATTTTGATATAGTTTTAACTATATATTGATTATTAATAATAATCATTAACTTCGATGTAACAATTGAATACGAATGAAAAAGTTATTTACGTGTAAATAATTGAGATTGCTGATGAATCATAAATTATTATCTAAAATGTTTTATCTTTCTTTTTTTTTTTTTTAATCTATAAATTTTTTTTTTATCAAACTTCAATACTTTTGACACGAAACACGTTGTCGATTGTTATCGATTATCAACTATATATAAAAATGTTCTATATACTGATATATATATATATATATTATTTATATATTATCGATTGTAACATCCTATTTCAAAAGTTTCATTAAAATATTAAAAGCAATAATAAAATAAACATAATTAATTTATTTATTCTCATTTTAGACATATTGATTGATGGAATATTATTTGTAACAAATTATTCTATTTGTTTTATTTGATCGATATAAACAAAAATTTTTATAGTATTATAATATTTATTATATATATATATATATATTAAAAATTAAAATATTTAATTCTAATATACTATATTTATGTATTTAAATTATTTTTATAATATTATATATATTAATATATTATAATTAATAATATATACTTATATAGTTTTTTTAGTAAGTTTTATATAATAATTATATATTATTTAATATATAATATATAAAATTATATATTAATAAATTTTATATATATATATATAGTAATACTAATATACTATATATATAATATAGTATTGTAATATGCATTAAAAAAAAAAAGTGTTATTTTTATTATTACTATAATATATATTTTTTAAATAATAATATGTTATTAAAAAAAAAATTTTTTTATTTCTATTGGTTATAAATTAAATTTACGTTTCTTTTTTATTTATCACAAAGCTACGTACATAAAATTGATTTATAAAAATGAAATAATTTATGACAGTATTCACGTGTACAAATAAATGACACACACACATGGTGTATATGCGTCTTTAAAAAATTTGAGATATGTTAAACACGTTTAACATATACATACTAAACGAATAAAATGTATTTAAATGTACGTCTGTATATAGGCATCATCACATCTCATGGTCAAACATTGAAAATAATTTAAAACTCAAACGTGGAAGAAAATAATAAAATGAATATGTACATTCGTACGATTAGGTATTTTAGATTAGAAATAAAAAATAGACAAAAAAAAAACAAACAAACAAATGTTTTCACACACTATGTGCATTTGACGATTCGCATAATGTCACGATACTAGTTTGAACGTAGTATATTTTTAGTTTGAACGTGCTAAATACCTGCTGTAAAACGTTAACTCTACGACTTTCGTGCGTCTAAACAGAATTTTCATCTAACCGAATGCTTAAATGAAATCAATTTAGACGTTGAGGTCTGTTTCAGGAACTTTAACGTGATCGATTGCACTAACAAAATACTATTACTATTATTTTAAGTAGTTTTAGTATCGTGTGGGTTGTTTTAGACACGTTTTACTGAAGTAGGAAACGTAAAGAATCAGGCTGACGAAATAATGTGAAAAACTTGTTGATCTTTTATTTCGTTTTTGAAAAACTTATGGAAAACTTATGGGAATACCAAATCGAATAATTTAAATTTTTATTATTTATTTTAATAATAATAGTATTATATAGTAATAAGTGTATTATTTAATAAGTGTATTAATTAATAATAAATATATTCTTATTAATGTAAATTATTTAAATTAATATTAATTATAATAATAATTAATATTATATAAATAATTTATTAATATAATTATTTATATTATTGTAATACATTTTATTAATTGTCATATAATGTAAATTATATTTATTAATAATATAATAATAATTTGTAATATTAAAAAAAGAATAAATAAATATAATATAAATAAAATATAAAACAATACTAAAATAATATTTTAATAATAAATATAATTATTTATAATATATTTATTAATATAATTATATTATAATATATTATATTATACTATACTATACTATAATTATAATTATATACTATAATTATATTATTATATACTATAATATAATATATTATAAATATGTTATTAATAAATTAAAAATATAAAATGAATCATGAATTGTATTTTTTGCATTTAATCCTTTTTATCCACTATCATAATTATCTTTATATATATATATATATATATCTAATTCATATAGATAATTATTAAAAATATTGATTGCGCAATTAGTTTTGTAATCATTTGGTGACAAATGAATAAGAAAATAATTAAATCCTTAAAGATACGACTATCATTGATTTTAATTAGATTGTTACGATTATTTTATTGATAATATTATTACAAATAAAATTAATTTTTATTCCACCCCTTTTTTTAAATTTTATTTTTACTCTTTATATTACGTCAATTATTAAAAAAAAAAAAAACTTGTTTTATATAATAATAATCTTCACAGTAATAATGATAGTTAGCTCGTAAGGAATTTCCACTCGTTATGGAAAAAAAAAGAATAAAAAATTCCCACATAAAACACGGAATTGTTTTATCGTTGAGCTTTGCACTTGAATTATCAAGGTCTTTATTTTTTATTAAAAAGAAAAAAAAAAAAGAAAAAAAAATACACACACACTTATCTCCATTTTTAAAAAGATTATGATACAAATTTTTTTTCATCGAATTAGAAAAAAAAAATTATCAAATACTATTCAATATGAACAAATAGTTTTGTACAGTTATAGTTAGTTTAAAACAATTTTTTTTCAAATTAAATCAAAATAAAGAACATTAGATTTCATGATTTTATCATTAACATCATCACCTTCATCGTCATCATTATAATATTTGATACTAATGAATAGTTTTGTTACGATTAGTTTCAAAAAAATGGAGTAAAATTAAATTAAATTGAAGAACACTTTGATTTAATAATTTCAACATCATCAACATCATCATCATTATCATCTTCATCATCATCATCATCATCATCATCGTCATGATAATCATCGTCATGAATGTTTCAAAGAAACTGAAAACTAACCTTAAAGGAAGCAATATAGAAAGAAAACGTATGAACATGAAAACTAATGACTATATCCTCAGTTTCTTTTTCGACCTTGTTATCTCTCTCTCTTTTTCTCTCTTCATGCTTGTCTGCCCTCGTGTTTGAAAGATAAAAAGAGAGAGAAAGAGAGAGAGAAATCTACATGTATACACATACATATATTCACAATACGAACGACGCAATTATCAGAATAGTACGAGTGAGATTCTCTTTGTCTGACGTTATTCATTCGTGTGAAATTCAAACGCATTTTCCTTCGAATAAAAAAAAAACAAAAAGAGATAGAGAGAGAGAGAGAGAGAGAGAGAGAAAAAATGAGAGAGTGATACAAACGAAGAGGTTTGTCTTTTTCGCAGCTGATAAGCTCTTAAATCGCAATTACGTAATATACTTTGAGTATACATATATATAGTTATATATACATGTGTATACAAGGAGTGACACATGACAAGATACAGTGTATACAAGAGAGAGAACATAAATATGATCAAGAAAAAGAGAGATAGAGATAGATATATAGATATATAACACACAATGTAGAGAAGAACGCTCACCGATCGCTGCGCAAACTGTTAAAGCGCACACGTTTCCTCCCGTCGAGTAATATCGAACGATGCCTTTCTCTGTTCTACTGGTTTCTCAACCCTTCGTTCTATCCCTTTTTTCTTTATTATACTTTCTATTTTTTGTTTGTTTCATACCTATTTATTATCTACAGTGTGTTATCATATTTTTACTTTTATTTATTTTCAATATTTAATTTTTCACACTTTTGTACATTTCATTGTTTGATATTTTGATCTCATTGTGTTCTTTCAATTGGTACGGGAAAAAAAAAATCAAATATATTTAATGTTTCGCATTTTTTTGTATATATTTTTGTTGTAAAAAATAAATTATATAGTAATTTATAATCGATTATCAAAATATTCGAAGAGATTAGAATGAATTCATTATTCAATTTCAATGGAAATAAAAATAAAAAATAATATTTCATTTGTTGTCAACTTGTGTCAATCGAAACGTAACATTTGTTATGTTATTTTCTATTTATTTCTATTTGAATTGGCAATTGTACGAAATAGCTGCAAATCTAAAATCAGACGCACGGTTGCTGTGCAGAAACAAAATCGAATTGAAAACCAATCCAACTAAATAATTCGTTCATCGTCATATATTGTGCACATCTTATATTTGTATTATATTTTCACGATTATCTCGTGCGTGTTGCAATTTTTCGTATATACTAAAACGTTTATATAAAACGAGTGTGTGTGTCTGTATATGTATGTGTTGTGTATATGTGAGCGATCATGCAAAGAGAAAGAGTATTTCTCTCTAACTGTAAAAGAACCCACGTTCATCGGCTCTCACAATCTAAAGTCAACCGTAAACTCTGATCCCTGGTTTAAAAAACAATTCCGATCACGAACTAGAATTTAATCAAACTAACTAAATTCAATAAATATCTATATTTAATCAACGTTTGTTTAATAATCAAAATTAATCACCATGTTCAATTTTCAATATAATTTTTTTTTATTTTTTTTTTTTTATTAAAAACCTAGGACAAGAGTTTAAAAGAAAATATGTTTGTACAGATGATGATAATGATGATGATGATTATTATTATTATCATCTAGGTCATCAATGTGTGCAAACAAACTCGAAATAAATGTTAAGAATTACGGATGAGTATATGAGGTAACTTTGGAAAATAGGTCAAGGACCAGGAAGCACAGTAACCATCAGTAGCAAAACAAAAGTAACAGAAGGAGGAAGAAGAAGAAGAAGAAGAAGAAAAAGAAAAAAGATGATGTTCTACTTGTCCCTGGGACTATTTTATTTTTAGTTAACACGTTCTGTCTCATCTACTCACTGCTGTGTGTCTTATTCCTCTTGGTTATATTGCACTTAGATCCTCACAAATCTTCTAACCTTCTTCTACTTTTTCTTCTTTCTCTTCCTCTTCTTCTTCTTCTTCTTCTTCTTCTTCTACTACTACTCCACTGATTTCACGATGGGAACGCATCAGCAGCAGAGTCTTAAGAATGTGTGATATAATTCACTTCGAAAATAAGACAAAAAGAAATAGAAAATAAGATAAAGTAAATTAAATTAATAATTTTCCACATGAGATCAACTTCTATCACTTAAAATGATTAGTGTGCTTTGTAAATAATCCCAATCATGAACTACCAAGAAAGCAGGAAAATCAGAATGGGTGACGTTCTGACGTGTTGCGTTAAAACACGGAACACGAACGTGCAAGTTCGCGACCCACCGTTCAACTGCTGGGTCTTCTTTGTTTGGTAAACAGAAACAGCTGAGCCGTTCTGAGCGTTGGGATAGAGGAGGTGGTGGCAGTACTTGCTGATGATGGAAATGGTTGGTCGGAATAAAGCTTCCCTAGTGGGAGGTAGTGATGTTTTATCCAGTGGAGGTGGTAAAAGTCTACAGTCGATGCCAACCAGGTCTTCGTATCCCTCATTCGTGTTGAGGAGAACGAAGCATTATCGAACATGCACGGCGCCGACGCTTTAGCTTCTTCTTCTTCTTCTACTTCTACTWCTTCTTCTTCTTCTCTCGTTTATAACAGTTTCTCTAATATTATCTTTCTCTTTTACTCTTGCATCAATAGCAATTGACTTTAGCAGGAGCGTATCTATCAAGTGTTATCTTTTTATTTATATGAACACTGATCTGGATCTGTATCTGGGTTTGGATTTGGTTTCATTCAAATGGAAATTTATTGTTATTTTATTTTTAAGAGTAGTTTTTTTTTTTTTTTAAATTTTAGTATAGTTGATAAATCAATTCTTTATATGTATATATATATTTTTAAATAGAAATAGTTTGTTATGTACGATATATTTAATTTAGAATTAATAATAGAATGTTTCATCTTTTAATAATATATATATATATATATGTAAATGTTATATAAATCAATGTAATGTCACTAGTACTAGGGATTAAAGATGTCATCCATTTAAGTAGATTCTAAAATTAATATTTATATATATATTGTTTATCATATGTAAGTTATGCTGTACTATCTAAGGAACGGAAACGTGTTTCCTTTTTAGCAACAGTCAAGATTGATTGTAAGATTATACAATGAATGATGTAATGATGTTTGAATATTCCCAGGTAAATTTGCCAAAAGTCATTGCCAATCGATCACACAAAAATATACAACATTAAAACATGAGAATGTTACTTACAGGAAGTTTGTTAAATCAAGATAGGTCAGTTTTTGGTAGGTCGTGGTTATGGTCACTTGACGTAATGATTCAGATGTATTCAATTAGGTACACGTTTGTAAAGGAACTGGTTTAGCCATTATTAATTACTTTACGAAAGATTTACATGTCTGGTTAATTAAAAAAAAAAAAAAATTTCAATGTTTAGGTACTTAATCCAAAAAAAAAAAAATAATAATAATAATAAACTATCTTTACGTTGTCATGGAAATGATTGGTTTCATTTTTTCTTCTTTTTTTGTTTCTCATATCGTAAAGACAATGTCACGTTCAAACTCATTATACTTATCTATATTTGTATGCTAAATACATTTATAGATATATGTAGACAATAAATTGAGTTATAAAATTATAATAAAAAAAAAAAAAAACATTTTAAATTGGATCAAATATGAATGACAGATCGTGCAAAATAAATATAATAATTAAATGAAATTAAAAAAAAAAAAAAAGTAAAAATAGGAAATCGTTTGGTCTCCATCGCTTAAACAATGTTATATTATTTATCGATACATAGAATTTATCAATGATACAATTGGCTAACAAGTATTTCACTCGGTCTAGATTTTTTTTTTTTATCATTCTTTTACATTAATTCTGTTTATAATGTGTTCCTATTATATTTTATAGTTTTTTATTTTTTTATGATACACGACGAAATATATTTTTCGTATTTATCCTCCTGTTGCTTTGGTATTTACGTGCGTATATTATTATTATAATTATTATTAATATTATTAATATTAATATTTATTTATTTTTTTATTTTTCTTTATAACGCGACACGGGTTACAATTGTTGATTTAAAATACAATTAAATATAATACGTACATATACATATAATAATATTATTATTATTATTATTATAGTTATACATTAAAGTGTTTTTTTTTCACGTTTTTTTGTTATTGTTGTGTTGTGTTATATTTAATAACAGTTATATGTATAATTATTTATATAATGTTTACAGATCAGCAGCGAACTAAATTAAATTACAGTTCTTTCTCTCTTTGTTTCCGGACGATTAGGATTCTCCAACGAGGATTATTATTTTTGTTTTTTTTTCATCATTCGTTCTTTCATTTTATTTTTATTTTTTTTAAATAGATCGTATCATTCATTTTACGCACTTTCAAATGTTCCCGCGCTTTCAGTGTTAGGTCCACGTGACGACGAAAAATTGCCGCGCTAAATGAATTTTCCTATTCGAAAATCAAATTCAATGATTTTATTAATTATTAGCATTTTTTTTTTGGGTCTTCATTCTAAATGACCTTGATTTATTCTAACGAAGAGAACAAAAATTATGTTCCTTCTAGTTTCCTTTTTAATTGTTTTTTTTTATTATTCTCTGTATATGGATGCTTTTTTCTTTCTTCTAATTTTTTGTTGCATCGTTAATTTATTTTTTTATTCATTCATTCATTCATTCGTTCGTTCGTTCGTTTCATTCATTCGTTTCATGAAATTACATCTTAAACGCAAATGAGTATACTAATCGCGGCTTTCAATTTGAAACTATTGCATTTTTGGTTAGCCCTAAAATTATTATTATGTATATATATATATAGCCTTATAGAATTTCTTCAAATTTTTATTTATCTTTGTCGAATCGTGACGAATAAATCTTAGATCTTAAATATGGCAATGAACTTCATTGCTTATTATTTTTTTTTTTTTTAAATGTTAACTACATACTTTCATATCGCGATAGGTATGTTTAGCGCTCATCATAGACGTAAAACGTAAATATCGTCATAGTCATCATTATTATAGTTTAATGTTAATTACAATAAGACTTGTGTGACAAGTCGAATTTATTTGGAAGGTTGACGGGAGCATGCAGACAAAAATTATTTTCGTAAAACTTACTTTTTGCTGTTTTACAATCGATTTGTTTGTTTGTTTGTTTGTTTATTTGTTTTTTCATATATCGATATTGAATATTTAAAGAATGATTCAAGTTTGTTTTTTTTTTTTTTTGCAATTTCTGATAAAAATGCATTTCTTTTCAATTTCTTTTTATTTTATATATTCAATTTTGTTATATTAAAATATTAATTATAACAATTAATTCAATATTTCGATGGTTAAATTTGTTTAATCTTTTATTTTTTATTATTGTTTTTGTCAAACAATATTGAATTGGTTGGTTTTGAAGCATGTATCAAAACAAATAATAAAATTTAAATAATAATTATACGTGATATTATTTTATAAATAAATATTTAAATTTGTTAAAATGTTTTACCGAATTAATTGTTATATTTAATATATTTCAATGTTATTTTCCTTTTTTTTTTCAATTCGATCTCACTTCGTTTATTCGTTTAACCCTTTGAGTACTGAATTATTTAAAGATTTTTATTTTAATTTGTTGCTATTTGGATTAATATGTCAAAGTAATGCATTATCTTTCGAATATATTTATATCGATGATATAAATATATTTTTGCAATAACATTTTAATTAAAAAATATCAATAAATATATCAATAAAATAAAATACAAATATTTATATATTTATATAAGTATCTTAAATTCAAAATGACGAGTCAGACTCGTCAACCATAACTTCGTTCAAGTAAGCAGATGACGAGTTTCACTCGTCAAATATACCCAAAGGGTTAATGTCAATTTGAAACAAATTCTTTTGTAATACTTTACAAAATAATTATTAATGTTATTTCATTTGTTCACATTTCATACGACGTTTGAGTTCAACAATATTATCATCATAATCATCATCATCATCATCATCATCATCATAGTCATTTTCATACTTATTATCTATCATCTTTATAAGACTCGCATGGAAATAAATAATATCTCCTTTATTTAAATAAGGAGAATAAAGGAAGGTGGAAAATTAACCACGTTCCGTGCCAAAGCCATTTTTATACCTGACTTGTCATTCAGACCATTTAATTTTGTTTCAACAAAATCAATCGTTACATTTAATTATTAATTATTATAAATATAACTTATGTGCTTTGTTCAACACTGCATTTTGTATAATGCATCAATATTTTAATAGGAATACTTTTGTACAGAATGAAATTTGTTATAGCACATTAAATAATTATGTCTAATGGTAAGTGTACACCACCGGTGATGCACGTGGCACGGAACGTGTTAATCGAAGCTTTTCACATACTATGATATTTTTATAAAACTAATAAGACGTCATAGGTGGCAAGCATACATCAATTTTTGTTTCGATAATTTATTTTGCTATCTTCTTTTATTCGTTTATGAATCAAAATTAAATTCTAACACAAAAGAAATAAAAAAAAAAAACAAATAAAATATACAAAGTAACAAATCTTGAAATTATTCGATTAACTATGACAATTATTTTTAATCATTATATTTATCTTATTTTTAAAAGAAACTATTTATTGAATAACTTTATTTATGATTTAAAAAATAAAAATATAAATAAATGCAAATAAAGAATGATATTATTTGGAACAAAATTGAATGATCAATTTAATCAATACAAATCTTTGAGTATCAACTTAAATTAAAAAAACTATGTTTATTAAATTATTTACTTTCTCTTTTCGTTCATTCATTATCATTCTTTCATTTCTTTCTCTCTTTTATTCTGTGAAAATTATCATGTACACGTGACTATTATGCGTACACACTAATTAACATTCTCGCTATAACGTAAAGAGCCTATACATGCATCGTATAATTGTTTATTTATCTTTTTTTTTTTTTGTTTTTGTTTAATTACTTCTTTATTTTATTTTATTTTATTTTTTTTTTTTGTCATTTTCTTTTTTTATTTAAAGTTTTTTTTTTTTTTATCTTCCATTATAACGCTGATTCTGAATCGCAACAAACAGTCGTATGCGATTATGCGTATTTGAGATCACGAGCTGGAAATAACATATCTTGGTGCAAGCTTCCAGAAAAAGAAACTCGCCCAAAATCCGTTTAAGGTACCAACACAAACAGACCTTTAACACCGTTGATTGAAAAGCTTTTTCGTCGTCTTTTTTTGTTTTTGTTTTTTTGTTTTTGTTTTAAAGACTCTTAAATGCATTTTTTATTTCTTCCTAATTATCACGTTCAAACTTTTCATTTACTTTTTTAATTTGTTTGTTGTTATTATTATTCTTTTTTTTTTTTGGATACTTCATTTCGAATTTTTTATCATTTTTTTTTTCTGTATATTTTCAATTAAAAATTAATTAATTGTAAAAATAATAAAATAACATTATTACAAAGTA